TCCGACCTTTCCTCCTTTGTTTTGCACTTCGACGCCAACCCTCTTTACGCTTCTTCTTACCTCCCAAACTCCTCGCCACCTCTTCATCAACTTCTTCTTCCAAATTAATGCAGAAGTTGTCTCCAATCCCATGCAGAAACAGCGTGCGGAATCATATGTTCCACATTTGTCGAGTCGGACACATATGCTAGCAAAACTGTATGACCATTGTTTGCCATATCTGATTTGTGCATTTGGTTCAAAACGAAAACCCATGAATTACAAAGACAGAAAAGAAACGTAACAAAAGCTCAACACATCAACAAATAAAACGTTGATTTACAAAGACAGAAAAACCCATGAATCCAATCAAATGCAAAAGAAAGAGCATGTTCCATATAACAAAACGAATATACAAGCACAGAAAAACGTCTACAAATTTCATGGTGAACAAAACAAATAACTAGTATGATCCAATTGAATCTAGTCTAGAAAAGCCATTTCCGAACTGGTTAACCACAAATTTCTAGGCGAACGAACAAATAACTCGTATGATCCAACTGAATCTATCACAACAAGTGAATCGTCACTCGTTGAGAACTTGTGCACGTCTCTAGAAAAGCCATTTCCTATTGTTCGCTACCAACAAATTTCCCAGAACAACACCAGAAATCAGACACACGAGAACCTTTCAGTGAAGCTTCCTCCAAACACTACGAGACAGAACGAAAGCTAAACCCAAAATCAAATCTCTATAGCCGAAAGCGAGCAACACACGACAAGGAAAAGGAGAAAAATCGTACCGGAGTCGAGAAGAAAATCGGAAACTCGACTCTGCAAATCCCCAAACAAACCCTAGAAATCGGATTTGCAAAATCCCGCCTCATTTGTACTGCTCTCTTTAATGTTTTAATTTGATCTGACACCGGTTAAAACCGGTAATCAGTGACGTGAAACTGACACGTGGCAGTAACACGTTTAACCAAGTTTATTCTTGGTTTCTTTCCGGTTTGTTTAAAAGTAACGATTTGACTTTTAATTGCAATTCGAATTTTTTTTTTTATTAAAAAAAAAGCCAAAGCTAATTTATTTGGTAAGATCATCTTTGATTAGTGACTGAATCTATTAGATTACATAGGTTTAAAATTCACAAATCAACTTCAGAATCAGACTATTAATCTTGATATTCGTCTATGATATTAAAGTTAAACAAAACATTATATTTTTATCTACACTGTATAGAATGGCACAAATTCGAAACTACTAATTAATCTACGAATACCTTATAAATATTACAGATTTTGTAAATTTATGGACTTTTCGAATCAAAATCAATAAATTAGAATCCTTTCGATCGGTTAAATATTTAAAATTTTTCCAAAATATTCATAACTATCCGTTTTTTTTTATTTAGTTCGATTTTGTTATTATTGACTCGATTTATCAAAAAAATAACAACAATTGTAAAGTTTATATTTAACTAAATTAGTTATTTTTACACAAATATATTCATGATACCCCAAATTGACCGAAAAACAAAACGGAATTGTCTAAATTATATGAACATATCTGACCTT